GTTTTCCCTATGTGCTTGCTTGGTGTACGCTTGCGGGTTTTATTAATGTTTAACAATAAAATATCTCTACAACTGGTGTTCAGGCTTCTAAATAATCTCGAGTTAATCCATCACTCTACTAGGAGATTTAGCCAGAGTTAAATACTCAATTAACGGGATACCATTTATTGGAGTCAGATATAGGGAAAATTTGACTCTACATTTTTTAAAACTACCATTTTACACAGATTTAAATCATGAGTCAGTTGAAGCTAGACCAACATTGGGAACCTGGAAGCACTGGACGGCCGTTTCGTCCTAGTACGGGACTCCTCAGCAGTGCGCAACCACGATCCCGCCCCACGCAGGGCTCGAACCCAGGACCTACTGGCTTCGCGCGTGAGCACTTAACCATTAGACCACTGAGGCAGCATCCAACGGTGTTAATGTCTAACTTCAACCAATCCACGAAGTTGCGCCACCATATACCATTGTCTTCAGTGATTTAAATCTGTGAAAATTTCTAAAAATCTCCACAAACCCCTTCTGATAACTATTTTACAGTCAATAATAGCAATCGTACCAATTGTGAGAATTAATGAAAGAAATGCAAATAGTAACAAAAACTAATTACAAATTAAATCTGTTCTAACTATCTCCACACAGCTACTCCTAGAGTGTCCAATGGTAACACTGGTATACAAAATAACTGACAAAGAATAAGAATACATGTTTGCAAAATTAAAAAACGAAGGAAACGGAAAAACTAGTTGTGGAATGATATTCTGCCGGAAGAAAGAAAACTTGTTTTTTGGCAATAGATGTGTATAAACTACAGAATACATCATGCATGCTGGTAATGTAGAATGTGTTAGTATATGGATTCATATGAACGTAGTTCGGCACAACAGAAATGAAAATGAAGTCTACAATGCTGTCTTAAGTTAATAATTAATAATTAGTAATAATAATAGTAATAATAATAATAATAATAAAGTACAAAACTATTGGTAAACTCATAAAAAATTATACCGTTTATTTGTATTATTTTCATAATTAATGAAAAGCTATCGAAAGTTCATTCAACTGTTTTTGTGACAAATTAGAAATAATGTGATAAAAAGGGTAAACGTGGAAAATATAACTAATTGTATGCACATTGTGTTGAAATATATATATATGGGGAAAATACAGAATGGATATTACATAAAAGTCTATAATAAGTGTCATACTGAGTGTTGATCACTCTTACTTCATTTGAAGGAAATTATCTTCAATAGAGGTTTAGTGAACGTTAACACAACGGAGGACAATCGAATCTGAGAACCATATAGTGAATACTTGACTTGCGAATTGTTAGTCGATTATCTCAAACTTGACTGTTCCTTTTGCAAATATCAGACAATCGTCTCAAACTCCAATGTTCCTGCATTTCCATACCAATTGCTTTCTGTTCCCGTTCCTTCCTCCTCGGTCTTCTTGAGCTTCTGCTGCCAGACATTCTATTACTGACCAGCGCTATATACTGCTTATGTTGACATAGTAGTACACACCACAAAGTCACACTAAATATAAAATCAATATTATACTGAACCAAATATCACTCTCTAAATGAAACAAATATTATTGTAAGCAGTTATGATAATTGGTAAGCAAATGTGATCCCGTCCTAACAATGAGAAATAACAATGTAACTGCAAAGATGCGAAAATGATTTTATGGTTTCCTCCAACTTTAACATATCAATGATGATGAATAAAATGTCAAAATAAACTTGAAACATTTAACTTGGTATGATCTATGGAGCAACATCAATCATAACAGAATATGGTCTGACTAAATAATTAACAAAGTTATATAAATAATAAATGAACTGATGTACAAAAATATTGGTGAGAATATTTTAAATTTTTTTGCATTTTCATTTTTTAGAAGTAGTCTGTTCTTCATCATTAATACACGTGATTAGTATATAACAGATTCTTCAGTGATATTTTTGTACTTGGTTTGTGTATTTAATCGGTAAAGAAATGTAATTCTGATGTTTCTTTAGTCAAATTAAGTAAATTTTTGTAAGTCAGCCCACTTTTATTTGTGTGATTAAAATTTAATATTGTACCATAGACTAAGTTGAATTGGATGAGCAAATATTTCTAGCCAAAATCGACTTACACATCTTTGCCAGAACGGTGATTCTAAAGTGATCAATTATTCAAAATTTTATAGAAGTTGTATTTTAGATTGAATAAAATAAAATACAAAGTAGAGAAGCAGTGGAGTTATGGCTAATTACTGATCTGCCCAAACTTATCCAATAATTTATGAAGAAATATGTCATTATATTAGACAAATTTTGTTTTTATATTCAATTAAAAATGCAATGAATATATTATATAGCTCTTTTGTTTAGACGACTAATTTTAATAAAAGTCTGAATACAATTTGAGATTTCATGTCTCTGATAAATCAATAGACCTTTGAATGGAATGTGACGTGTTGTACACAAAAATCATCAGAGTTTCAGTATTATTGTTTGAAAAATAACAGTGCTCTAGTAACTAATAGATCAGTAGAGAGGTAGAAAAACCCTTGATTGGTACTAACGTGAGTTTTGTAATTTTCGATATTGCATAACCTGAAAACACTTCACATGGAAAGGAAATTCACACCGCTCAACGTTTGATCTCGCAAGTTCGTTCCAGCACACCAACATTAAGTGAGGTCGTGGTAACACCATTTTCTCTCTCGTAAACAAACCTAGACGGAATCAAAAGTTGCAAGTCAGCCTCACACGAACTCATGTATACACGGTAACTCAGTTTGGCTAAGTTCGAGTATGTTTTCCGAAGCCTCATCATACAGACAACAAGCTAACATTTCGGATTATAACTTACGCCTGTTACTCCTCGTGGAGGAGCATCGGCCGCTCAACAGCATTTTCCACCCAACCCTGTCCTAGTCAATCATTTCCGACTCTTTCCAGTTGTTATTCATCATTTTCATATCTGCTTCTATTTCCCGACGTAATGTGTTCTTCGAACTTCCTCTTTTCCGTTTCCCTTCAGGATTCCAAGTTAACGTTTGTTTCCTGATGCAGTTTGGTGATTTCTGTAATGTGGGTTCTATCCATTTCCATCGTCCTTTCCTAATTTCCTCTTCAGCTGGAAGCTGGTTTGTTCTCTCCCTCAATGGGCTGTTGCTAATGGTATCCGGTCAATGTATGTTGAGTGTCTTGCGAAGAAAACTATTTATAAATAATTTTACTTTCTTTATGATGGTTGTAGTAGTCCCCCAAGTTTCAGCTCCGTACAGTAGGACTGCTTTGATGTTCATATTGAAGATTCTGACTTTGTTGTTGGTTGATAGTTGTTTTGAATTTCATATGTTCTTCAAATGTAGGAATGCGGTCATGCTTCGTAAATCCTCGCCTTTAATATTTCTGGTTAGCGTTTTTTTACCCTCCTCCTTCACCCGGGCTTGACACCGGCAGTAACCCAAGGAGAGCTACAGGCGGAGTTGAGCGAACCCATCGGGACTCATTAACCACTTAAGTGATAATAATAATAATATATCACTTCGAAACTGTAAGAATGAATAACTTTGCATTTCATTTTTACTTCAAACTTGTTAATCATTTGATGGATTTAAGGAAAGTGAAAATGATGGTGGATGTTGCTCATAATTTACTGTTTTTAACATCCAGAACGAAATAGGAAAGTGGAGTTTTCGCCTTAATCAAGTTTGAAGTTGATAGTTGTTAGGACTGTATTACCAAGTCTATAAGGTAAACAAGCAAGACTATAATTTATGGACGAATCAATCAGGTATAAAAAAATAGGTCCTAGATTTTGACTCAAAATTCTCTCATCCATTTGGCAATATACCACTCTAACAGTATAACTGAAATCGGTTCGTGGCGTTTGAAGCGAACGGAACTGTGTTCGAATTCAGGAGTGAACATCAATTCTGAGGTTCAGGTACATCCATCTCGCGAGTCCCTAATTGGACGAAACGCGAGTCATGTATTTCACTGCTAACCACCATCTATCTGTGTTTATTATACCTGTAACTTAAGGCAATATCGAGGCAACCTGCACCAAATGCACATATGTTGAATGGAACTGACCAGTTGCAGTCCTAAGCCTCCATGTGAGGATTCGAAAAACAATGCGAAAATGGATTCTGTTAGTAATGATAGAACATAAATTACGCGCATCTCTTTGGTACAACACTTTTTTTCTTTCAAAAAATATTAATTTCTATTATGTTATTATAGTGTCGTACAGATAGAGTTTGTCAAATGTGATAAACAAATCTATCAGTGAGATTAGTCTAGAGTTGTACATAATGGCTTGATCAATTCTGAGAAGGAACCGAATCAAGCGATATTTCTGTTGGATTTCAGTGGTCAAATAAAATCTTCAACTTTCACTAGAACATATGATAGTCCATCAAAGTTTACTAATTGTTTAACTAATCAGGTACTTCTGTTTTAACAACAAGACTGCTTTGACATAATAATTTAAGTATCCAAAAATTTATTCAACCTACATAATATTGATTGTGATCATAAAATGTACTGAATCTGAGAGTAATTGAGATGTAGTTTTGTTTTTCTCAAAGAAAAATTGAATTTGCAAAAACATAACATTGTTGTTTGTCATTGAGTACTTATTAAAAGAGATTACAATTTAATTAAAACTGTTTGTTTTATCATCCACGTCACCCGTAAAATCTATATAAGTTGCTCTGTGAACATATTAATACCAAAACCTTAATGGAATTTGCTTCCGTTCTGCTTATTTTTAAGAAAATGTCGTTACTGCTTATTATTGTGTATTTGTTACTCTTGAAGGAGAGACTTGTGGAGTGTTTGGTGGCACAAAACTATGCCGTAATTTTGTATTCGATTCAATAATTGTTATTGCAATTATTTAAAGAGTGACAGTGAAAATCATAAACCTGGTATACGTCGAAGAAGTGAATTCATCGTTGGTGAAAAATTCCGTGTTCGAGTGGTTATGAGTGAAGATTTGAAAAATCATTTACAGTATGATATAATCAAGGTTAGTCAACCATAAGAATGTTATTTGCAAATACATACACATTTTGTATTTATACGATAGCCCAGTCGTTTGTAATTGTGCATTACATGCTTTAGTTCCAAAGTTAATTTATCATTTATAGCCCCATGTTACTCGTTCTGTATAAATTTTCTCTACGTAATGCACCAAACATAAAATGTGAATACATTTCGGTATAATATTTAGCGCATTGTTTCACCTTTTATTGTTACACTTTTCAAAACTTGTACTTACATTCAAGAACATTAGGCTGTCTAAAACGTTAGTTAGGATTCTGGCATATGCTTTTAAATACGATTTGTGTATTGTTTAATGGTCATGCAATACATACCAACTAACTATTACATTCGTGTTCTCACAGATGGAAGGTATAATTGAAGAAGTTGAAGTTTATATGACATTTAATAGACAAATTATTTTATCTAAACACTGATCTCAGAACTGATAAAAATGTCAGGCCAGAAATACGGGAAAACTGCCTAATCAAACGTAGTGTTTTTTTTCGGACAATATTGTCTTCTTAAAACCACCACAGTAGATTACTACTATGCAAATATAATTCAGTCAGTCAGCTACAACGTAGGACCAGACGCACATATTTATCAGTCCACGTTGTCACCCCTAATAAGCACAAGAAGATGAACACCGAATTTATAGAAGCAGTTACTTCAGTGGTATTATTATATACAAAAAAACATTGCGCATATTGACATAGTACAAGAAGAACGAATCAGTTAATGGAAAGAAACGGAGGAGCGAGAAATACAATCTGAAGGTTTAAGGGAATACAGAGTGTGTATACAACTACGCCATTGTGATCACTTTTGAGCCATGTCATCTAGAGTCTCCAACCATTGGTTATGATAGTCATGCGGACACCAACCAAGTAGTCTGCATCGTGGTAATCGGTGTTTAGGCATACGTAAAACCTGGCCCAACCATCTCAGTCAACGAAGACGCACAGTCTCATCAACTAACTTATCATCATTCCACAATACCTTGAACCTAACCTCACTATAACTTACCTGGTGAACCCATCTGATACGGGACATATTTATGTGACATCTGACATGATCAAATACTAGTAACTTACGAGTATCTTCTACATGTTTCGCAGCCGTAAAGTAGAACAGAACAAACTATCGCACAGTATACTCGCCCCTTAATTGATAGACAGATATCTCGCCCTCATGATGGCTGACGTATTGGCAAAACCCAAACGAGCTTTTTGAGTCCATGCAAAGATTTCGTCAGACACCAACACATTTGGGCAGATCAGACTTACAAGATAATTAAAGTCGTCGACGCATTCGACTACTTGATTCCCTATCCTTAGTTCATGTGATCACGCAGCCCAATCCTGAAGCAACAAAATAAGAAGAAACGCAACCCAAACAACCTGGCATTAGTGCTCAGTGCTAACAAAACACTCTGCATTTTATCAGCGTCTTCGCCAAGCTCAAGTGAATGGCCACAATACGATCCTGTATCTGTGTTCCAGAGTTCTAGGGTTCTAGTCAAGGAAGCCTGCTGGCCGATTCGACACAGGGTTTGCACGTATTATAACGCTGGACATGAGTAAAAGTCATAACACGAATGATAACGCTAATTACTACTTGCCTCATACTTTGGTAGATCGTGAGCTGGATCGCATGTTATTGTATCAGGACGAGGTCTTGTATTAGACTCATTAGGAGAACGAAAGTTCCCAATAGAATTATTATGTACGTTTGAGATACGCTTTTAAATGACAGGCACTGCTACAGAACCTCTCGATCTATAGAGTCAAATGCTGCATTTAAGCCAAGAATAATCATCATTATCAGTCGCCAACAAGCATGCCTGTGTTCTAAGATCAGATGAATGGCAATAGAAAATCAGGAGGACATCAAGTACAAAGGAACCTGAAAGTTAAATTAGGTTAGAGGTGGCCTTAGTGAGCTGAGAGCGTAACCGCAGTGCTCAACTGCTTAAGTTCGGTCACTCACGACCGTTTGTGAGTAATTTCCTTGTTAGCTCCGTGATTGTTGGGAACATATTGACGGAGACAGATATCCGTGGGATAAGGCATGATGTGCATTTTCACGGTCAATCTATTCTAATCCCACCCTTCCTTGTGGGAAGGCAGCATCACTTTTATGCTGGTTGTCTGAAAGAAAACTCTTGCTTCTCTCACACCTCTGTACAGTTAGCAGTACGACTTCAACCTCGGATCACAGATTTGCTGCTTTTGGTCTTACCGCTCTTCAACCGACCTGTCTGGCATGGTAGGACCTTGAAGAACTATTGTTCCAGCCAGTATGGCTCGACTGGCTCACCATGATAGGCAAGCCAGATCACCAAGCCAAGGTAGTAGGAAAGGCCGGAATTTGATAAGTGTATGATAAATATCAATACGTGAAAAATCTGACACAAATACATTACTATGAATATTTTCAAACGATAAGCACCAGGTCTTTACCATTGGGTGTGCATTGCACAATTTAATCAACGATGTTACAGTTTGGGATTCGACAACACTTCAAATCCAGTATTAATTATGGTTATTAATTTATTCATCAATAAACCATGAGCTTAAATGATTAGTCGTCCATAACCATTTCAGTTCAGAATACTGATAGACTAATTTGGGTCACCGATTTCGTCACTCGACTTTGTTCTTCCGAAAAAAATTTGAAACGGTTGAGAAACAATAAGATGTATGACTCATTGATCTGTGATATTAATTATTATGGAGTACTGAGAATCTCACCAAGATTAACAGTCACTGAATATTCGATAGTCTTCAAAACTAAACTTCTTTTCATCTTCTGTTTGATTGGAACACTTTTGTGAATTGCAGAGGCAGGTCAAAAATGCTTTGATATTCTGGACAAAGGCAATACAACCAAAGCGAAACTCTATTCAACAAATATTAATAGAACGGTTAGTTTATTAACAGTCATACAAATTGGGTGATTTCCATGTTGTGATATTGTTAGAATTCTCTTTTTGCAGTTGACCTGTCATCCTAAACATTTATACTGATATGTGATGTGATGTTTGTTCAGGGAACAAACCACCTATATCTTTTGTCTGTTGCCATACCGAAGTAAACTTGTAGTATATCAGAATCACCACTTTATTATACCAACGCCGACATCATTGAAAGTCATAAAACTCATCTGCATCTATGGCACAAGCTATTTAGGATTTGTCAAACATGTCTTTCAATTAAGTTGACTAAATCAACAACATTTAGCAGTGTAGTGATGGTAGCAAAATTAAAACAAAAATGCACTCTACTCCTCTACCAATACGCGTGTCTCAATCGTTTCAATGGACCGTACATCTGCGAAGTAAAGTTGAACACTTTCCACGTTTCGTGAAACCTTTTGAAAGATGCTAAAACATTTACTGGATGACTGGCGAACGTACAGTTTGTAAATAACCACTAAAATCTGGTTATTATCACACCTATTACAAAAAGAAACTAGAACAACATATTTATACATTTCACTGAAACTAAGACATTGATGTTACAAATACTTTTGAATTTAGAGTGAACTGATAACAGCAATACAGCAATACAGAGTGCATTGTTCAACAGATTACTGTCATCATAGTAAGCAGACAAACATACTGATATTTTGATCATCAACAATCCATCTAGTGTGATAATACGTCCAAGAACATTACCAGTCATCAGCTCGGTCAAATAGTTTACTGTGTGCTATCAGTCAGAGTGTGGAGAAAAGCCAGTGCTGATGCGATAAATTGCATTTTTGAGAGAGGATTCCATTCCTATGATTGTTTCATTCCCAATCACTGTGTTCTGAACTCTCTGCATAGTGTCAGGCCTTTCATTAAGCAGACATCTTTCACACCGTATATCCAGAGGTCGAGTGGTTTCTAGGAAGAGAGCCAACCAGTCAAAACCCGAACTAAGGAGGTAGTATTTCGAGAACATCTCTGACAGAAATGAATTAAGTTTGAGTACAGTACAGCCTCGATATAAGCCACAGGTGATTGTCAATGCAGATGGTAGCAGATCGTGTCCATTATTGTTTGAGCAATGAGAAGTTAGAAATTTATTGTGTTTTGGACACACCTCAGAGGTAAACACTGACACAAAACATTGTGGTCGACGGCGGTCAACTTCTTGAATGTGTCATTACACAATGATGTGCACTTAGAGTGTTAAATAAACATTTCTTTTCCTGTTGTTTAATCTCCTTTCGAATACATTAGCAATTGCAATGAACGAGTTCGATCACAAATGCGGCCACAATATCATTACTGCGAAGGTGGTTGTAACAACGTGTCGATATGTAACGGTTTTGAAATCCCCGAGAAGTATCTCCAGGTCAGTTGCCCAGTTGAAACAATTGAATATTTGTCGCACCTTAAGCGTGGAGATTACATCTCATCCATCAACAGAAGACATCCCATTTAGTGTAGGCAATAATCAGTTCCATCCACAACAATCCTATGAAGAACATCAGTTATAACTTCACACGAAATATGAATTGCAGATAGTTTATAAGTTCTTGATTCGTTACCTCTGGAGTATGTTGTGAGTTCACAACACTCTAAAGTGTCAGAAGAAAGTAAATCACGTCTAGATCAATATTATTTCCGAAACATTACGGTGTAGTTAGCGTAAACCCAGATGCGGTAAATCTACCTATTGCTTACACAGTTACCCTAGTGAAATAGGAGAATCGTGCATTAAATACATTATTTGCACATCTTCCTTCAGTTTTCTTTTACATACTTTGTGATTCTTTAAATTCTGTCGCTGTTACATTGTTATATGTTTGCCTTCCTTTTCTCCTCAATTCCACTTCCGATTACTGCTATATGCTACTTTTATCTGTTGGCATAGTTAGCATTTACCACAACAGGATCATTAAACGTTGTATATGAATTAACATGAAAGTTATTTCAGTTGGTGACCAGTAGCATCCAGTAAGATACATGTCCGAATGTCGTGAATTTTATGTGAAAAAATTCTTGCTGCCAAACATGTACGCTAGGAAATCTCACTGCATCATACAGATAAATAACCGAACTGTCAAACTCGTTAGTTATCAATGTTATCGCTAGTCTGTTTCGGTGTGGTTAACTTTTCCATTAAATTTCATTATTACCGGGCTGTGATCATGCCAGATACTGTATCATTTTCAACATCACTCTAAATATTCTTTCTTTATAATGATGCGAAAGAGTTAACAATTGTTTTAAAAGTTAAAGAAACTCTGGGAGACACCCACACAGTGTCCCATGATGGACTGTCATTCTAAACACAAAGGTGATTTATGCTCATTGTCAAACATGGTCGAGGTACAGAGATTTGTTACCTAATTTAGATTCTATCAATCCACACTGGCTGAGGAAGTGAAGCTTCACCGGTCGTGTTGTTAATCGGTATTTTAACACGGTTATTTGGATTTTTCATGTACTATGAAGGTCACCCTTGAAAAAACAAAACACTGATTTCCAGCTCCGAACAACTTTAAGTGTACATAATATTAATCATTGGATCATTTGTGACAACAAAAATAGCTTAAAACATTTCGAGTACATTTTTTATGTTTTGTCCTCTGACAACTTTATGCAAACCTTTCTAATGTTCCGAACCTGTAGAAATGTCGTTCATCTGAAAAGGATGTTGTGGAAAAAGTCCAAGTCCAAAAGTCAGGCAAAAGTGACTTTATTCTTTTTATCCGCTCGGGTGATAACGGATCTCACACACCGTTGGCTTCAGCTGACACTTGTGAGCTGGATTTAGACACAAATAGGTAAGTAACAGATCGGTTGGTGCGTGGAAATTATTGTTTGCGTCCGGTTAAAATCTAATACTGAGACTAACTTATCCAAATTTTAGTACCACAGATGTTCTTGAATTTCCTTTTTCATATCATTCAAGTATCGCAACGTCTTAATTGTCTACTGACAATACGGACAAATCGCTGCCAAGCGTAACAAACAAGCTCAATGATTACTTCACTGCCTCTCAAAAACCAATATAATTCAGACAACATGCGAGTCAACAAGATAAACTACTTCGTGGTCTCACAGATATCGTGTTAAACATTGAGATCAAAAATGTTACTTCTTCAAACTCAGCGTCATATGCAGTACGCTAGACTGAAAATCGCATTCTCTATTAGCTCTCCACTTGACAATTTTAACTAACAGATTTTCTGAACTGGCTACGGTTATTCACACATTGATTTTATACGGCCGTCGTCGGTGTTGCTGAAACTTTAAATTGTGTGGCTCGATTTTGTGAAACAGGAAACACTTCTATACATGTGGTTAGCGTTTGAGCGAAACCATGACAACCATTCGTGATGCCAGTGTTGTCCTGAGTTAGGATTTTTGAACGGTTCACTGAAAACGTAGTACAGTGTTGTGATGCAATTACCTGATCCGGTGGTGGGGTGTTATCTTGCTCAGACATAAAAACTAGGATTGAAAAGAACAGTTTTATGTTTCTGATTCACTATGTACAGTTGCATTAGTTATATAGAAAATAATTTAGGAATCTTTCAATCACACGACAAAAATCTACTTGTTTTCAAGACACTGTTTCAGTCAAAATTTATTTGAAATTTATAAGTCGCTGTATCTTCTTTCTGACTTTTCATTATAAACTACCAATGCTCTGTGATATAATAGCTTCCGTTGTTACTGCAGTTACCTTAAATGCTGTCAACGTTTCAATGATTCGAAAGCTTGTCAGTTATTACGATTTATGCCACTAATTATTTACATTATTCTATGCCTAATAAATTGCGATTGTATTATTTTGTTTGTAAACAAGACCAATCGCCGGTTCAATTGCAATTTACTCAGCTATGAATTATATTGATTCTAACCCAGGCGAATTGAAACGAGTTATTATTCATGAATTAGGACATACATTCGTGAGTGAAACAGCTATTAATTACACAGTTTACTTATTCTTGCATTGTATTCTTGTAACGATGACCATTGAAGTCACTACACAATGTGCACAATGAAACAGTATTAATAAATTATCATTATCACCTTACCCACAGTTTCGGATAAATTCTCAGGTATAGTAACCCGCGTGATTTGCAAGGACCTGTAAACTGAAGAACAATTTCACAGCTGTAGTTACATACTTTTGTAACGGTCCATTGTGTGCAACAGAACGTTTTGTTAAGAAAAGCATTGGGATGCTAACAGTCGTTAAACTTTCGTGAATTCATTTTAACAAACAATTGAATGCCTTAAAATTTATCGAAGAGATCAAGTGTATTGTTTTACTCCACTTTTGATGAGGATATCAAGAATATAGCAGAAAATAGCAATAATAAATAAAGTTATTTGACATATGCCTCTTAATGCCACTGTGAGATTCGTTCAAATGATTGTAGTCAATAATAAAATATTATTTTATTGAACAGGGCTTCGATTATCGGTTGTTTCCTTACCTACGTCATGATGATGGTAGTCCTAGAACAAAGCGTAACCAACATACTGGTGAACCGGAATTGCCAACAGATGCCAACGAAGGATTAGAAGCTGATCGGTAAGGAACATTTAAAACACTACTCGACTCTCTGTCTTAACATCTTGAGTTAACAAACCACTGTCTTATTTAAAATACATAAAGCGATAAAGTTAGAAACACTTTCTCGAATCCAACTCATAGAACACTTTCTACGTAATTATTGAAAATATTTCAGTCTCCTCAAATCATGCTCAACTTTTTAATCCGAACAGTTTGCTTATAGGGTAGATAAGTATTCCATTGCAAATTACTGGCATGAAGTAACTAATTCAACCAGTAACTGGATCATCAGTTGCTCATTGGCAACGAATCGACTCCATTATGAATGACAATGAATGAATAATTGAATGTGAATTTCCCATTCAATTCCCAAATTGTTATTGGACTGGTCTCGTCTGGCATGCACAGTATTAGAAGCCAAATACCCATTGATATGTGAGAATTTCAGTTCAGATATTCAGGTTAAGACAGATAGAGTCTATACAAGCAATATAATCTTTTATTATCTTAATACTATTCACGTATCAGATCAAATGACTGACTTTTCAAAGTACATTTCTAACGTTGCAGTATCAATTTACTTATTGGAACCTTGTTTCCAGAAATACTATAAAATACGTGTTCAGGACATGGCATACAGTCTCCAGTAAGAAAACGTACAAGAGAATCGCATTAACATTACCAAGTGTAGTCGTAAGTATATCATTGACTTTACATACATTTCACTGATTCTGTGATGTTTTATTGTGGTTTACTCCTAGAGCTTGTTTTATTGGCATATGAAGAGAGAAAATGTTTGTTAAATTGATTAATTTGTTCTCCCTCGCCTTAATTAGATAAATGTTATCAGTGAATGTTTGGTTCAATATCATAAACAATTCACATCTATCGTAAATTTCCGATGGGAAATCAGGTGTTCTAACTGTAAATCATGATAAATCAATTTACTTTTGAAAATATTATCATTATACTTTAACACATATATTAGCAATAGTGTATAGAAAAACAATGGAATTCACTGTCAATCTACAAATCATACAATTCAGTGCCAAGTCAGTTCACTTTATACAGAGTTCGATCATTATGTCGATCAACACACTTCATTGTACTTATACAAACTGTTATGTCTTACAGCCAACTAATACGCGTAGACGCGGAAAGGACGATGGAAACTGATACTCTATGCTTGGTGGTTCTCCAACTACTAACTAGCACTGAACAAGGAGGAAGTATGCAAGACCAACGACCTTTAGTCCATGTTTTTAAAAAGCTTTTATTCATTCTTGGTAAATTATCATCAGTCATCCTTTGTTCGTCTATTTAAAGCTGTTTAAAAACTATCCGTACTGACCATTGTTCTATATTTACATTGACACAAACATATATGGACTGAAGGATTACTTATGTATCTCTACCACCTCGTTCAATTCACACTTCAGTATGACTCATGCAATATTGGTAAGCAGTTGAACGCAACAGTCATTACTAAAAATATATTTTAAAATCCCTTCCATTTCAACCATAAAATTACATGTTTATTTAAATAAAGACTGTTGAATTGCAGTAGTTTTGTTGACTTCAACCAACCTGATCAATGTAGCCTCTTGATGTATATTTGACATTCAGACAAGAATCCAGATAAGTTTATTTTTATCTTCTGTTCTTTGAAACAGAACTTTGCAAGAAATCATTTTCGATGCAACGAGCTTGATGCAGTTGATCTAGAATCCGATGGTGACGATGGATCTAAACCATCACACTTCGAACGACGTCTGTCTATTGTAAGTTTACATTAAATTTAACAAATATCAAGTCGTAAATATTCTATCGTATGATTATTCCAACGTCATTTCTGTGTTTTAATTTTCAGGGTGAAGCTATGTCTGCTACTCACGACATCATGGCGTCTGTTTCCGGTTTAACTCTCAGCTACTTCAAAGATACTGGGTAAAGTTCAAAACAGTGTGTTGTTGAATATGTGAATATGTGTATCGATGGTGAAAATTTCGTTATATTATCTCACTATGTAACTATAAGCTTAAAACGGTGATAATTAAAATGTACTAGTTTCAAAGTTTTGTAAAATGTGAACTGTTACTGTTATACAGTGTTCCTATTCGTGATCTCGTTCTGCTACTTGTGTGAGAAGGCTGATAAATATCAGGAAGCTTTATTAATTAAACTCTAATCGTAATTGTATGGATAACTTACCATAAATATATGTCTATTGCTCCCAGGACATTAAAACAGGTATCCGACCAATAGTGTGTATCGGTCTTCTTCTAAAGTCGAACGTTGACCCATAGGTTGCACCTGTCAGAAAATCTAACTTCTCACTTGGCTGATGCCTGATCGACTGAGCGTATTCATTCATAATCATCTATATTTTCAGACAGCCTTCTAGTCCTATGAACTATTCCATTGCACGATTTCTGAAAATGAAATTATCAGAATAATTGCAACTGAAATTAGGCATAACACTAATGTGCTGCATAACTTCGTGATGACATTTCAATTAAATTCTCATTTTCGATTTTACACATCGCTCAAGTATTCATATAATCGCAGTAGACTGAATATCAGATTAGAATAATGAATAACAATTATGAGATATTTATAAATAATTATGTCCGATTAGCTTATTTATCTGATTTAGTTTGATTGTTATACCAGTTTGATCCGTTCACTGCATTATTTGAGCACATAAATTGAAGAAATTAAGATTATTGATGGTTAGGAGTTAAGTGACAAAAATTGTCAGTGAATTCTTTGAACGTTCAGTAGATTAATATTAAAAAACATGATGATGATGATGATGATGATGATGATGATGATGATGATGATGATGATGATGATGATGATGATGATGATGATGATGATGATGATGATGATGATGATGATGATGATGATGATGATGATGATGATGATGATGATGATGATGATGATGATGATGATGATGATGATGATGATGATGATGATGATGATGATGATGCTGATGATGATGATGATGATGATGATGATGATGATGATGATGATGATGATGATGATGATGATGATGATGATGATGATGATGATGATGATGATGATGATGATGATGATGATGATGATGATGATGATGATGATGATGATGATGATGATGATGATGATGATGATGATGATGATGATGATGATGATGATGATGATGATGATGATGATGATGATGATGATGATGATGATGATGATGATGATGATGATGATGATGATGATGATGATGATGATGATGATGATGATGATGATGATGATGATGATGATGATGATGATGATGATGATGATGATGATGATGATGATGATGATGATGATGATGATGATGATGATGATGATGATGATGATGATGATGATGATGATGATGATGATGATGATGATGATGATGATGATGATGATGATGATGATGATGATGATGATGATGATGATGATGATGATGATGATGATGATGATGATGATGATGATGATGATGATGATGATGATGATGATGATGATGATGATGATGATGATGATGATGATGATGATGATGATGATGATGATGATGATGATGATGATGATGATGATGATGATGATGATGATGATGATGATGATGATGATGATGATGATGATGATGATGATGATGATGATGATGATGATGATGATGATGATGATGATGATGATGATGATGATGATGATGATGATGATGATGATGATGATGATGATGATGATGATGATGATGATGATGATGATGATGATGATGATGATGATGATGATGATGATGATGATGATGATGATGATGATGATGATGATGATGATGATGATGATGATGATGATGATGATGATGATGATGATGATGATGATGATGATGATGATGATGATGATGATGATATTTATTTACTCCTCATCTTTCAGATGGTATAATGTAAATTTTTCTATGGCTAAACCATGGGATTGGGGTCGTGATCAAGGATGTCAATTTATTTTCGAAAGTTGTGGTCAATTCATTAAAAGGCAAGAATATAAACAAATATTGATTTACCACATTTTCCTTTTTCTTGTATGAAGTGAATTTCTGTGAAAATCTTTCAGAAATCTTTGCTCTGAATTACGGCTTATTTACGTTTTATATATTTTTACACATATAGATTTCCGTTGATATTCACTTGTAAAACGACCGGTCAATTGTGCCGAATTTTTTTATTTCACAGATAACACAATTCGGGGTAAACATATTTTCACCGAAATATCTACTTTCATTAATTAATATGTCTACCAAATATTTGAATGAATGTTTACTGTTGTTAGGATTGTTGATTTTAATGAAGATAATGAACCGATCAATGTTCAACCACCTTTGAAAATCCTGGAAATATTGTGCAGCCGTTTCGTCCTTCTATGGAACGCCTCACCAGTAGTAATCCAGGATACCTCATGCGGAACCCAAACACAGGCATTCGTTTGCACACGAACGCTTATACTTCAAACCTTTGGACTGGCGTCCAGCAGTGTTCATGTACATTTTCAAACGATCCCACGATATTGCGCCATTATCTTCAATTGTCTTCGATCAGTGACTGCCTCATACTGACACAAATGAACTCCACTGGTTGCATGTTCTTGTTAAAATGAATTTTGGTTTGTTTTTATTATACTTGCCAGATTAATTCATCATTAATTATTACAATATATTGATACAATGTATATGGTCAATCATAACGTGGTTCACCAGTCTGTTGAACCGATTAATGAATTGCATTTTGACACCTTTCATTTAATCGAGCTGATTATCTGGTTTGTTTTTGTTTACAGACAACAGACCTCATCACCTTGGTGTGATAAAATAATTTATACAACTTCAAGTATTCAGTGCATCCCTCATGTAAATGCATACGGAATATGCAATTTGGGAAATTACAGTTTACCTCTAAAACCAGAGCATATACACTTCGATAGCCTGCCCAATATAGAGCCTTCGGAACTAAGTAGGTTTGGAGGATTTGACGCTTATGCTGATCACTGTCCATATATGTCTGTAAGTACAGCTTTATATAGTTATACGTTTTAATCAATAAACCAAGATTTGGATTCAAAATAAACCATTTACAATGCAGTGATACATACGTTTTATTTTGCACTCAAACGATTAACAAACGAAACGCCATATTCACTAATCAACGTTAAACAGAATCGAAATTATCAAGTCAAACCTTGGTAATGATCCCTACAGAATCGATCAAAGTTTGTTTTGAGAAAATTAAATCCTAAAGTGAATAAATCGGTTTGAGTAATCGTTTCTCAATTTCTAAGCTAATAATTGCGAAAGATACGTGCATTTATAGTTGTGGTAATCAACTTGAACGCAGTTCACTTCACAATACAATACTCAGTTATATATGAATTCATTGTTGTTTCCAAGTAAATTTAGTGATCACAGACGACGAAAACTCACATACGAACTTTGATATTATAGAATATTTGACTTTTAAATGATACTATGTATAAAATCATTCAAGACCAGGATTGTACACGGATATCTTTACATACCAGTCATTTTGTTTAATTTCTAACTACCACATTGTGTCACATATTCAAAGTTTACGGATTTACTGATCCAAATATTTCGAATTTTATCTTCAGAAAGCGTTGATCTATGCTGTACGCAAACTGCTTTATGATAAAGATGATTTCAAGTGAAAACTAACATCTGAAACTAAATTCTAAATTTTCGAATAGCTACGTGTCATTGATGTTACAATTAAATGTGTACGCTGACGTTTAATTGGTATACCATACAAAACATCATGAATAAATATGCTTCATGAAATAGGACGACTCATATGAACAGTTGAATTTGTGTTGATTTATTCCATTCAGCTATTTCCGGTAGAATGTCTCTAAATGCCTAAATGACTATGTAATCAAGAGATTTGTGAATTTTTTCAAACAATATGGATGGTGGTTGCGATGCCAAGTTGTTTTCTAATTACTGTCACCATTCAGAAAGATCACTTTTAACTGATTGTCCATGGTTTAAGCAATATGTGTTTTGACTTCTCAACTAACCACAAAAAAATCAACCACTAGGTGTTGCGAGTATGTATAAGTATTCTGTGGGCAGATAATTATTTTCATCGACTGAAAAATTACTTACTCAAAACAAAGTATGAATAAATAGTCGAACACATTTCTAACGTTTGAGTATATAGATTAAAATTGAGCACTACTATTGTTTAACCATAAAGGTTATATACAGTGATTAGAATAAACCTATTATACACCTGTTGAGATGCCTTATAATTGGTTTATCAGGAGGAGATTGTTTTATGACTGTCATTCATAGACCGTCGATTAATTCAGGTAGGTTTATCGTTCATTTAGGTTGCAAAAGTAATTTGTAGAATTAGGGTTTAATCCAAACTGAGATTGAAAAAACCTGCGTGTTATGACTTGAACATCATGACAATTATGCAGAATAAACCAATGCATTTTTGAGTTGTATGGGACTCACTTCAAACAGATTACATTCTACACAGCACAAATAACATGATTTTCTCATCAGGACCACGGTGTTCCAATTGATATTTTATGAACTCAGAGTTATGTGTCAAAAGTTTTAATAATAGTAATATATATTGCATGAAATTGAATCACCTGATTTATTTGTAAAATTCTTGTAGGATGATCAGTAGAATGTACTTTGACACATAATATATTATCATAATTCATTGTTCTGAAAATATTTTCTTCAGATTTTAAGCGGTGTTTATGTGAAATCACTGAATTCTCACTGTGGAGATACTAATAATCGGAAGTACCAATGTAAGTTTCCGTTATTCAAACTACTAACAACGAATACACTCAATTATCATCACACTACTTATTACTGTGAAGTAGCGAAGTATACTATGGAACACAATAATTCGACAATAACATTTATCTAAAAGAAATATACAGCAAATTATCACGATACCTAATGTTATTGATCTACATACAATGATATAATAAAAACGGGACTATCATGAAAATATTTATTACGGTTTGATTCATGGAACACTGAAAACTGGCTACTAATTAGTATACAGAAATTTAAACTAATTAACGTGTAACATATCAGTATCCATTAGATCAAGTAGTGGCCGACTAGGAGTTGTTAATTAAGTTTAAACTTCTAATTCTTCTTGGTATCCACTGAGTTAGGGATTCGTTTCACTTCATTGAATGAATTTGTCTTGACCTGCGTACCAAAAGTAGATAGTGAACACTTTATCCTAAAACGTTTACTGTCAGCTCACATAAGAAGGGGATTGAACTTTTAAAACAATTAGTCCCTTTGATAAATTTCGATAATGATATTAGCAGACGAAGATTATCAGAACTATGTGATATATTAGCGCAATACATTTCGAACAATCTGGTCACACATATACTTGTTAAGAGCATTTATATATAAAAATAAAAGGTCAACTAGACAGGAAACGGGGCAAGAGGAGATAAGGATAATGATAAGAGTAATAATAACTTTTGTTTTTATCTTACGCTGCAGACGAGAACAGCGATAATCAATATTATGGAAGGAAGTCACGATGTTTCAATTACGGAAAAACGTATGTGCATGGAAATGGCAATTGGGCATTCGCGGGTTGTTTTGAAGTAAGCTATATATATATAATTTAATTTATGTTTATTTTATGTCCTAAACTTATTATTATTATCTTTATCATTGTTATCATTACACTTGATAACCGTTTTGAGGAAATCATTCTGTATCCACTCCGATCTACTATATCTGACCTAATTCTACATATTACGTAATTTCCGATTTTTATTCCATTATTTTCTCTCTCACCCCATGTTGACCATATTTATTCTGGTCATTTATCGCACAATTCCATTTCACTCATAAACTGATTCATGTTAACACTTTATATTAGTCAGCTCCAACATTAACGATCTGAATTGATTTTATATAGCAAAATACAATTCTTGATTCACATATTACAATTTCCAAATGATGCACTCTGCCTTAAATCTTGGCCAATTTTATGGATTCTTAATTTGGATTTATAATTGTAGAACCTGATGAGAAATTATTGAAAAGAATATTCATCCTTCATACAATTGTATTTTAATATAACTGAAATTTTTCAGCGATTTCCTTGATTTCATAGTTCAGTAGAATGTAAATTTATTGTCGTCATTTTCGAATACAAAATAATGTTAACGTATATCTTATGCAGATTTTCCAAAATAATAAAACCATGCCATTTTGTTCAATCAAAGAAATCATTTATTCTCATTAGTATTTACTTCACCAGCTGACATTAGTTTGTATAACTAACTTGTTCATCAGAATATGTTGATTTATTTCCAATTTCAAGGTGAAGTGCAGTCTTGAATTCAAACATCTAGTTTACTACCGTGGTGAGTGGCGTGACTGTCCAAGAAACGGTGGTATTGTGAAAATATCTGAAGATAGAACTAGCCATGATTGGATCCAATGTCCACGTTATCATGATGTATGCTCTGTGAGTTAAACATAGTCGATATTATGACTGTCATTTATCTATTTCCTTATTCAGTTTGTGTAGAACCTAGCAACAAAAAACATTAACCGAATTTGAAAATGTCGATAATTAAGTTGTGCTTCGTCATTTTCTATGATGAACACTTTCAATGGTGTCATAGGTGCTCACTTGTAAGGCGTTCCATATTACGACAAAACAATTATCCGGTTCTCTGTTCTTTTTAAGCGGTACTTTCAATGATGCTAATCTGTGGCGCATACAACTTACTAAATATTCACCATTTCAGATTAATTCATATTCCATTTACAAAAGCTGAGTGCACAGGATAGATTATTTCTCATAGCTAATACACGAGTGAAATAAATCATCATTACTGTAACGTCGAATTCACTATGC